CTGTTGCTCTATCGATCTTCATTTATTTATTTTTTTTTTTTTTTTTTTTTTTTTTAACAGAAAGGGGCCCTTTAGGGCTTCATTATAACAAGAAACTTGTATCCAGCTGTTTTTAGAGTTGTTGCTGTTTTGGCTTTTTTTTTCGTACAGCCATGTTTGCTTACGGCCGTAAGGCCAGTTGGGAGGGCATATTCTCACTTGTGCCCAATGGTTTGTATCCAGCTGCTTTCATGTCCAAGGAGTTGTTGCTTTCTTTCCTTTTTTTTTCTTTTTTTTTCCTATTGCCGTGTTTTGTTGAGGGAGGTTGGGAGGGCGTATTCTCACTTGTGCCCAATGATCTGTATCCAGCTGCTTTCATGTCCAAAGAGTTGTTGTTTTTTTCCCTTTTTTCTCTTCTTTTTTTCCTATTGCCGTGTTCTGCTGAGGGCAGTAACACCCTTTGGCAGACTCTCACGTGTACCCAATGTTCTGTATACACTTTCAGGTCCCTTTTTTTCCTTTTTTTTTTTCTTTTTTTTCCTATTGCCGTGTTTTGGTGAAAGTGGTCGAGTTCGTTAAGGTATATATTTGATACCTCACTCTTATGGATTTAGGCCAGGACGTGAAATATCCGGAAATCCATAAGGTGAAAGATTCTAGAGCATTCCGAAAACTTAAAGTAGGTTTCCTGGGATTTGCGAAAAGCAGCAGTAACGCCCTTTGGCAGACTCTAACGTGTACCCAATGTTCTGTATACACTTTCATGTCCCTAACATCTTTGCTTTTTGCCTTTTCTTTGTTTAGTTTTTTTTTGTCCCCCGACGGGTACCAGAAAAGAGAAGACAATGGGACCCAGGCTTGCCAAAACCCAGTGCGCAGTGAAATTCAAGGTCAGCAAAAACAGGCTAGGAGGTAGCGGTGGTTTAAACCACCAGTTCACAGACCGCTACTATTCACCAAAAGGCAGTACACTACTACAGAGGCAAGATGAACAACAGTAATCCGGAACCGCGCAGGTTCGGAGGGAAAAGGCTGGTGGAGCCAAAAAAAAAAGATTGAAAGTGAAATCGGGAAAAAAACAAGAAAGCAAATGAGAAACTGGGCTTGACTGCACTATTTACTCAAGAGGTCCTTCCTTGCTGGCAGGGCACTAATCTTAGAAAGAAACAAAACCCCCCAAAAAAAGGCCAGATTTGAACGTAATATCCATCCAATACATTCTGGAAAGTAGTAGTGTGAGTATGCCCTGAGTGAGGGCATTCCCAAGAATGTAAATAGGCAAAAAAAAAAAAGAACGTAAGATATGGCCATGATAGCTGTCAGATACAGTCTGGAAAGTACTGGTGTGAGTATGCCTACTATGCCCTCAGTGAGTAGAATATGCCCTTCCTTGCTGGCAGGGCACTACAAGAAAGAAGAAGGGAAAAAAAAAAAAAAAAGGACAATGATTTGGCCGTGACAGTGGTCAGGTACATTCTGGATACATTCTGGATACATTCTGGACAGTACTATTGTGAATATGCCCTCAGATGGCTTCCCCCACATCTCTTTTCTGTTTGTTTCATGAAACTGCAATGGCCTTTGTTCATCATTGATCTGGATTTAGTTTGTGTTGTTTTTTTTTTTGCTCATCTTTTCAGTGCCATCTGCTGGCATGAGGTACAGCACTTGAGCTTCATGGTAGGCTGGTACCAGTACCCCAAGATATTTTTTTTCAGCCTGTTACTGAACAATTTAGCTTTGTGTGACGATTTAAGATCGAGCGATGATCCAGGATGGACGGCCTGGATTGTCAAGCCATCTTGAAGTCTTAAGATCGTGCAGAAGTCAGGTCAAGGCATCTTAAAGTCTTAAGATCGTGCAGAAGTCCGGACGGTCGGGCCGGTAGGGCCGGCCGCCGCGGATCGCCCGTGACGGTTTAAGATCGCGTGATGATCCAGGATGGACGGCCTGGATTGTCAAGCCATCTTGAAGTCTTAAGATCGTGCAGAAGTCCGGACGGTCGGGCCAGTAGGGCGGGCCGCCCGCGGATCGCCCAATTCTGACTTTATCTATTTCTACAAGGGTAGGGCGGAAATCCGGACCGTCGGGCCGGTAGGACCGCGGGTAGCCCGGATCGCCCAATTCTCACGTTAGCCATTTCTGGAAGTGTAGGAATGTAGGGACTAAGAACAGTTCTTAATTAAGTGAGGGAAGGGCCTTGAACTCTTGCCGAATCGGGTCCTCAAAAGAGATTGCCTTCGCGCTGATCCCTACAGAGACGTGATATCGAGATACAGATTTCGCTATTCTCAGCGTTCCACTTCCGCATCCCATTCAGTCTCGAAACAACCCCTCTCTTCGTCTTTCCTCCTCCTTCTCCACCTCCTCCTCCACCTCCACCTCCGGTCTTCTCATGCTCCTATCGTCATCTCGTCGTCCATTCTCCGTTGTAATGCCATCTATAACTTATGATCACCCTCCTCCTCCTCCTTCCCCTCCAGCTCCTCCTCCTCCTCCTCCATCTCCTCCTCCTCAACCTCCACCTCCACCTCCGGTCTTCTCATGCTCCTATCGTCATCTCGTCGTCCATTCTCCGTTGTACATGCCATCTAAAACTTCTGATCACCCTCCTCCTCCTCCTTCCGACTCCAGCTCCTCCTCCTCCTCCTCCTCCTCCTCCTCTCCCTCCAGCTCCTCCTCCTCTGATTCTCCTCACTCCTCAAACGCCCCCTTATGATCCGTTGTACATGCCATCCAAATCGACTCTGAACATCACTCTCTCTTCGTGTCATCCAGCCTCGCCCCGCTCATCTTGGCCGTCAATCTGTTATCCCATACAGAAGATCATCGCGAAGGATGAAGAGGAGACAGCAAGGGAAGATCAAGAGGTGGAGAAAGGAGGAAAGGAGGAAGAGGAGGGGGACAAAATCGGGAAGGTGGAGAAAGGAAAGGTGGAAGGAGAGGCGGGGGAGAAAATCGAGGAGGGGGAGGGAGGGGGAGCGAAGGAGGAGAGGAGGAGGAGAAGGAGGAGAAGGAGGAGAAGGAGAGGAGGAGGAAGAGAGGAGGAGAAGGAAAGGAGGAAGAGTAGGAGGAGAAAACGGACTTGCAAACGAGGACGACGAGAGGTTGAGAAGAAAGACAGCGACAAAGTACATTCGTGAGGGAAGCCGACTAAGGGATGAGGACGGCGAGGAGGAAGAGGAGGAGGAAGAGGAGCAGGAGGGGGAGGAGGAGAAGGGGGAGGAGCAGGGGGAGGAGGAGGAGGGGGAGTAGGAGGAGAAAGAGGAGCAGGAGGAGGAGGACGATGACGACGATAGCATGAGAGGGTAGAAGGACGATGACGACGATAGCATGAGAGGGTAGCAAGATAGGAGAAGGTCACAAGGAGGAGAAACAGGGGAACGGCGGGGCTTATCCCGACGTTGCTTGCCCGAAATACATGCGGGTGAAAACGGTACCTGTACCTGTACCCACTTGCCGAAGGAAGAGGAGGTGAAAGATATGGCGGAAGAGGGAAGAGAGGGGAGGAGAAAAGATGGGGAACATGTACGAGGTCAAAAGGGAGGAGGGGAGGAAGACGGGCCAAGAACGATGAAGGCAAGCTGCTGTATGTATGTAGACTGAAAGTTGAACCGAATGCAGCATTATGAGGACCAGGCACTCTAGTTTTCAGGTGGGGATGGCCGGTGACAACGACGCACAATCCTATCAGGCACTCCGCTGGGAACTGACGGCCATGCTCACACTAGAACTTCCCGAGATTATCTGACCGCAATTCCAGTCAAGCCTGGATGTATCTGACCGCAATTACATCCAGAAATCAGTCGGAAAGTCCGTGTGTATGCCCCGATGGGGCCCTACACGCCCTAATCAACACTTCAAAAGAGAAAATCTGAAAGAGAAATTCCACCCTTTCACCCCGCTTCTCATCCTTCTCCTCTTGGTCTGAACACGTGCACGCTTACCGTGGCCCCCTTTCTACCGAATCGGGCCCCATTAGCCGTCAAATACATCCAGGAAATCCCTCGTGAAAGACAGCATGTGCCGCGAGTCCAACCTTCTATCCCATAATACTACGAGATCATCAAGAGGAAAAACGTTCGGAGATGAAGACATTAGGAAGGAGGAAGGAGGAAGCAACGGAACTCATCAAGGAACTCGGCGCAGAGCAGATACGAGACGAGCGGGAGCAGGAAGAGCGACCACGCTACTAATGCGAGGGGGAGGAGCGTACGAGGACGAGGAGGAGGAGGAGGAGAAGGGGAGAAGGAGAAGGGGGAGAAGGATGAGTAGAAAGAGGAGGGAGAAGGTGAACGGCAAAGCAAAAGACAAAAAGACAAAAGGGGGCTTACCTGTGGGATGACCGCCCACTGACTGCAGGTAGAGAAGAGGCGCCGGCAGGCCAGCCAACAAGAGTAGGCTCCCCCCGAAACTCCTACCTAAGGCGGGAACTACCGGTAACTCCGACAACGGAGTGCAGATAACTCTGCATCACCGTTGGCTGTGCAAGTTTACCAGCCCAAGCCGCTGCGGTGGAGAACACACCACCGTGGGATGGACGGTACAAAATGGCCGAGTGTACCCCGCCCATCTGGCCAAATGGTACACACATGTGAAGAGATCATGAGCTCAAAATCCTGCGGAGTCCGAGCTCGGGCCTCGTTCCATATCACTACACTAGACTTGCACTACACTTGCACTTGCACTACACTCTTTGCACCGTTCCACACTTTTCTGAATCAAGTTCCTGCCAGCTTCTCAGGGTTGGACCGCACAGCACCGCGGCAAAGCAAAATGGGGAGCCGCGCATACAGGCTCCCGTCCACGGCGAACAGACCTTCGAAGGACGGCGGGAACCCACTGCGAGAACCCACTGCGAGCTTTCCCGTCACTCCCGTTTACCGAAATAGGAAATGTTTCCGTTGTTTTCCTGAACGGGAAAGTGAGGGGCCACCACTTGCGTTGGGATGGAGGGCACTTCCGTTCCAACGGATGTCCTTTTCATGTCCAACCCCGCTGCCTCTGTCCGTGACGGAGGCCCTCTCTGGGCATACAGGCTCCCGTCCACGGCGAACAGACCTTCGAAGGACGGCGGGAACCCACTGCGACCTATAAGCGTGGTGTTCCCGTCACTCCCGTTTACCGAAATAGGAAATGTTTCCATTGTTTTCCTGAACGGGAAAGTGAGGGGCCACTACTTGCCCGATGGAGGGCACTTTCGTTCCAACGGATGTCCGTTCATGTCCAACCCCCCTGCCTCTGTCCGCGACGGAGGCCCTCTCTGGGACCTACCATGTAACTTTGGCATTTTTTTTGGGAATTAAGGGGTGGAACGGAGAATTCTGCCATCATTACAGCGAGTGGAAGTGGAAGCTGAAGTCTTCCACACCACACCCGACAGCCTATGGGATCTGACCTACGCTTTTCCACATGCCTTTGGGGTCCGGGCCTAAGGGTGCCGAAAAAGTGTATTCAGGAGCCAACATCAGGAGCTAACATCAGGAGCTAACAGGTGCAGCTCGGTCGGTATGGCACACAAGCTGCATTCAGGAGGTCGGGGGTTCAATTCCTATCCACTCTCACATAGATGCCTGGGCTATCACCATCTAGAGATAGCCCAGTTGTCCTCTCAGGGCAGCATAAGCGGAACCTAAGCCAATATTGTCCGGTCTGAATGCAAGCAGATTGCCACTGTGCTTGACTCTCTCGCTGGTGGTATACCCCACCAACAACGCCTGTGATGAGCTCAGACCCGTACCTCACGGCTTGCCGTATCCCTGAGGAAAAATCCCCCGGAAGCCCCGAAGTACGGATGCGAACAAAAAGGGGTTTTTTCTTTCTTTTTACTTTTGTTTTCTTTTTGAAACGGCTTTTTCACTTTTCTTTGGTTAATTACTCCCGCGCGGGCGAATAGCGGCCGCGGTATGAAAACCAAGAAACGGTTTCGGTTGGGACTTTTTGAATTTTTGCGCGCGTGCGCCTAAGCTTCGACTTCTTCGCGCGCCTCACACCCCCGTTTCTTGCTTTGCATCCCCGCGCCATCTTCCTTTCTTGCTGCGCGCGTTTGCCCCATGCAGGACTCTTCGTCTTCCCCTACGCCCAGCTCGATCCCCACCCCGTCTTCCTCCGCGAGTGAATGGCTGCGTAGTTGGGATGCGCGGATCAATGTGGAAGGCGAAAAGGCGCACCACTTTTCCACCACTGCTCAATCCCTCCAGCTGGCTTACCCCGAGTCTATCACTAAGCCCGACCCACGTCGTCACTCTGCCCGTCACTTGGGCTCGTCAAGCTTGTTCGGCGTCGCGGACGTTCGCGCATAGCTCGCGCAGCATTGCAGCCGAGATCAAAGAGGAGGAGAGGAGGGGGTTGAGACAATTTATAGCGTGGGAGGCGGCGGGTTGTCAGCGCGAGGTGCGGGCAGCGCCGGTTGTAGACGAGCAGGACAAAAGAACGGTGAAGGGCTTTGGAAGGGGTGTTCCGCGGAGTCGCGTGGTCAGGCGTGATTGGGGTGTTCAGACGCCGATCACGACAGGGTCTTATGGCTATGGTGGTCGGTGGTCCTTGGGAAGTTTGCGGTTGCGCCTGAGGGCGTCAGCCAATTGGAAAATTTTGTGTACAACGAAACTCGTTTTTTCTCCATTGTTGCTCTGTCTCCGTGAGATGTATGCAACGTCCCGTCGAGTGGGTAATCGGTTGTATGCATGAGAGTGAGTCACGGTGAGATGGTCTGTGAAGGGGTGTGAGTCTGCGTATGCATGTATGTGGTCCTTGGGTATTGCGTGGCAATTGTCTGCCTGGATGCATGATTAAGTCGGCCATCGTACCTCTTTCTTCGATGTCGTCCCGAGAATAGCAACCAGAATCGAGCGAGAGGCCGGGCTCGAGATCCGCCTCCCGCGATGGTGGAACCCGGAATTGGGGGTGGAAACAGCGGCGATAACCACGCGGTGATGGCCAATCATCCCCTGTATTTTGTACCTCCTCCCTTCGAGGTTCCCATCTTCTCCGAAGATGATACCGACCCTCGCACCTGGCTAGCCGCCTTGAAAACCCAGGGCTGGTCGGACCAGTTGCTCCGATAACGAATCCCGGGGAGGTTAGCCGGAACCGCTTTTGAGTGGTATGGGCAGAACCCCTACACTAATTGGCTAACCTTCCAACGAAAGTTTCTCGAGCGTTTTGATCACATCGCACCTGGACAGTGCCTTCGTCTGATAAAAGAATATACGCAGCAGCCTCGGAAAACCTTGGCCAGATATGCAGAGCATTTTACTTACTTAGCCGAACGTTCCGGGGTCGATAAAAAGATGGTGCGGACTGATTTCGTTAGGGGACTGTCCGATTCTCGCTTGCGGAAGAAGATCCGCAAGAAATGCAATCCGATAGAACACACCCTGACTGAGCTCATTCAGTATGTCATTAAATACGAGAAGGAAAATTACGATGTAGGTCTAGATTCGGAGTCCGACGAAGATGACCCTTCGGGTGTCCGACGCCATAGCTACTCCGCTACGGCGCGAATGTTCGAGGACCGCTTCGGGTTAGGACCGGCAAAGAAGAATTTGGATCGAAAAATTTCGTCTTCCGCGTCGACCTCCCGACGCTCTGGTCAAGCTCAAGGAGGCCGGGACGAGGACGAAATATCAATGAAAGAAGTCGCGGCCCAGCTGGTCAGAGTAGTGGCCGCGCTGACGGAATTCATTCAAAACTTACAGCGGCAACGGGTGGCAGCTGCGCAACGACATCAAACTGCCATGGCCACCGGTACCCCTATGACCCGACCAGCCGCAGTAGGAGTTGCCCAGCCTCTGCGGTGCTACAACTGCAATCAGTCGGGCCACCTTGCGAAAGATTGTCCGAAACCTCCAACTCAGAGTGGGCCCGCGGGGCCCACCGGACCTTCCCAAATCCCGTTAGCTGCTGCAACCGCTGCAGGGCAAGGGAGGGTAGCCACGGTGATGGATACTGGAACAACGGAAATGGTGACCCCTGCGGCCACCGAGATAGGACCCGATGAGTATATGGCTGCGGCAATGTTCGAACCCGGGACCATTGAAGTGATACGTCACGTCCAAAGGATTACCGAGGAAAGCGACCTCAGGCCTTGGCGGCCGGGGTTCGAAGATCTCACGGCCCCTGGCCCTGAGTACAAAGACGGTCACATCGACGTGTTGGATGCCTTGAAGGCTCTGGATCTACGGATCCCTGTCCCTATTCCCTATTTGCTAACCATTTCCGAAGCGGCTAACGAAAAGTTGATCGAACGATGCCTCAAAAACAGGCGCCGGTTCGAGGAAAGTCGAAAGGGTAAAAAACCGGTCCTACGAGACCTACCCACAAACGAAGAGTCACAACCCTCGACTTCAAAGGTGCACGAAGTAAACCGGGTAGGAATGATCCAGACCGTAGATCCCGTATCGGAAAAACCTGAGGTATTCCTCCGAGCCTACCCTATAACCTGGAAAAACATTGAGTGTGACTGCGAGGTCTGGGGAAACCCCTCGGCCGCCATCCTAGACTCGGGATCGTCAGCGATCGCCATTTCTTGGAGATTGACGAAACGATTGGGAAGGGAAGGACAGGTTCAACCCCCAACAGAAAAAAAGTTCTGATATATTTTTATTTTTAATTATAAAAATTTAATTTTTGATATGTATCTACTGCTTTTGCTGGACCCAGCTGATTGGCATATACTAAGGACCTCGCCATATATATACCAACAAGTCCCTACACACTCCCAACCAGTTCCAACACACTCCTAAGTTCTCAATTTCCAACACAATCCTAATAAGTATGTGGTATTGTGTACTTTAAGTTCACATGACCATGGAATATTTTCTGGGTGGAGGAGTTGGGGTTCAGTGTATACACACCTGATGTGCACTTGTGTAGGAAAAATATATATTTTGTTGAAGGAACGATGCTGAAAAGGTACGTGGTTCTTTCGTCTAAAAAAATTATAATTTTTCTCCAAGTACTACGTACCTTTTAACATAAAAGTACACAACTACTTGTCTTTAACTAATGTATGGTGTATTCTTGCTAAGAAAGAGAGAGAGAGAGAGAGAGAGAGGGAGAGAGAGAGAAAGGACAGAAAAAAAATGGTACGTGGTACTTAGGGGCGCAACGATATATTTCTTCAAAAATATGTGCGTACCTTGTCTATACTCATAATGAAATATATTGTCTGTGTAGCACATCAAACATGTTCGGAGCTTTTCCCAACGTTCGAACATGTTCGGGTGTTCGGCCGAACGGCACCCGAACGTGTTCGGCCGAATATATTCAAAAAAAAAAATATATATATATATATATATATATATATATATATTTTTGGTTTTTGATTTTTAACTCAAGTTTGGTTACGAATTTGAGCATACCTCCAAGGCAAGAATTGTTTGTATTATTATTTTACATAATA